TATATACACATATATATATATATATATGTATGTATATATAAAACTCAAATTTCTAGCAAATATTTAATGGTGCAGGCTTTAAAGGGCCTTGCTTCTGACACTAGATGGATGGATGAGGGTGACTACTACTACTTTATTGGGTCAGCCAATAAAGTAGTTCCCTAGTCCTTTAAGTGTGGCTAGAGTCTTCACATCATCAGATTTTTGTCTTTTCCATGTGCTTTAGGGAGTAGGTGAAGTTGTGCCAGAAAAATTTATTGAAGGACGGAAAGGGACATGCCGCTCCTCCACAGACTTTGGTGCTCCGCCACACTAAACTTGCAACAACTGCCAGTAGATCAGATGAAGATCAAGATGTCATCATTAAAGTGCTTTGGGGTGTCACAGGGGACAGTATTTGGATCAATGTGCGTTATAACTTGTATTTAAATTTCAATTGGTTTTAAAAATTTAAAGTCACAAGATTATGCGTGGGTTTTTAAAAAAAATATGAAGCAAAGTTTTTATCCAACATTTGTTTGCTGTTTCTGGTTGATGTAGAGTATTCAGAATCACAATAAATACAACAAAAATGAAAACTTGGAGTTCTTTTCCCTTTATCTTTAATAAAAAATAATTTGGTTATTAATAAATAAATACAACCAGGATATCAGATTTCAATAAATATTTTAAATAAATTAGAACATTAGCAGCCGACAAATCAGTGAAATCAAAACTTCGCTTTGCCGAGCCATTTGTCCACAAGCTCCAGCAAGCACTTGGTGTACACATAGGCATCCAAGTCCTTGAAGGAGAGTGGACTGTAGGTCTGGGAGACCGTCATGCCGGTCCAGAGCTTTTCGGCATCCTGCATGGACTGGCGGATGGCCTTTAGCTGCGATGACAGCTCTGGGGTGAGCGTTAACACATCTGCTATGCGGCTGCGGAAGGACGAGAGCTGGTGAGCGGTGAGGTGCTGCTGCTCTGGCCTGACCAGCTCCGAAAAGTTCAGTGTTTGGCAGGAGATGTTGGGAAGCACCCCGGGAACATCCTGCAAGAAAATCAGTGAGTTACAAGCTGCAGGCGGTTCAAATACAGCCGTCAATTTATCACCTTCAGTGCCAGAAAGGTTGAAAGGCTGTCATTGTTCCCTAAAATGCAAATTTAAATTTTCACATTATTTTTTCCAAACCAGCTGCCAAAGCCCCCCAAAACTTTCAGTTTACTTTAGAAAAGGAAGCTGAGAAATGTACTTTTAGATTTCTGCTTAATTTTAAAAGCAGTTGGAGATGCTGATTACGCATCACTGTCGGTAAGTCGGCAAATAATTTCACCTCACTGATTTACTGATATGTCACCTAGTCCCTGTTAATCTCTATTAGGGCCTTTCAGTGCACAAACTAAGAACAAACCTAAAATAAAAATGAGAATTATTGTTATTTATTGTTTTTGTTAAATTATCTAAAATTTTCATTTTAATATTTTTAGCATAATCTCAGTCGATTCTGACATCTGACTGGGCTGTGTGCTCAAACACAGCACAGCGCTTTACCGAAGCTGCTTCCATTAAGATGAGTCAATTTTTACAAACTATTATTCAAGCTGCTTTAAAACACATGTAAACTGTGGAAACTTTTACCTGAGACAGTACTGAGTTAAAAAACACCAAATTCTTCACACAGTCTCCCTTCTTTATGATCTAATGATCTTTGTAAGCATCAGAAGTCTTACCAAGTGCTCCAGCACGCTCCGTATCTCCACTCTAATCTCCTGGATGGTGGTGTTCAAGGCTTTGTTCCTAACAGTCCCGCAGTTTGCTTGCACAGAGAACAGGCAGAAGAAGATAAAAACTGCAGCGGCAGCAGCAGCAGCAGCAGCATGAAAGGGAACACAGAGGAGATTAATTAGATTTGAATACACTCACATGTACACAGAGAGAGAGAGAGAGAGGGGGTGAGCTGCAGTAACCACTGGAGAGTTTCAACATTGCACAAGTTTGCCGACCAAAAAACTCGAGTCGAGCTGCAGCCTGCTTTCACACAACCTCACTTCAAGATGCTTACCAGCACGGAAATCCATGACAGCAGGAGGCATTGGTTGACTGCAGGCTCTGATGAGACACTGTGGTCCATCTTTCAAGGATCACTTTTATTAGAACTCCTGAGATAAAGATCAGGCTTTTAATATTTTCCTCTGCGTGCAGCTTTGAGAATAAGAAAACTTTAGGATTCAGGTTTTTTTCTCTTCTGGGGGTTTCCTCAAAGGAATCCCTGGTTTAAAAAAACTACACATCCCGTAACAGGTCTCATGTGATTACTCATTTAAATTACATGAATGACTTGCACAGCTTTCTATATATATATGTGTGTGTGTGTGTGTGTGTGTGTGTTTCTATTAGCCTAATATTAAACAAGAAAATGAGTCAGTGAACGTAATCAATCAAACTTTGTCCTGAAAATGTAAATGTGTCATCACTGTTTTAGGTTTTTTCTTGAGCTTAATCATTATTGACCTTTGCAGGTCTCCATTAAGACCAGCATATGATGGTAAGATATTACTAAGGGGCTCAAGGTGAGAAAATATCCCCCATAACATCACACCACCAAGAGCTTGAACCATTGCCGGATGGATTCTCCATCCAAATTCCGACCCTGTGATCCAAACGTCACAGCAGAAATCAGAGTCATCAGATCAGGGAATATGTTTTTATGTTTCTGTGGCACACAGTGTTGTCTTCTGCTGCTCTGGTCATCTGCTTCAAGAGATGCTCCTGGTAACACATTGTTATTTGAGTTGCCTACCTATGAGCTCAATGCAGTCTATTTTCCTCCGATCTCTGACATCAACAAGCGATTTTCACCCAGAGAACTGATCCTGACAGGATGTTTTCTCCATGTTGGGCCATCCTGTATAAACCCCAGAGATGGATATGTCTGATCAGCAGTTTGTGAAATCTGGCACCAACAACCAGAGTCACTCAAATTATGTTTCTTTTCCCTTCTGATATTCAATTTAAACTTCATCATTATCATCGTCACCTAAATACACTACATGTGATTGGCTGAATAGGCATAGAGATACTAAATTGCTCTTTTTAAAGACTCATAGTGCTTTCTTACTACAAGAGTCTCACTCACACCAACACAAGTCATTTTTTCTACATTCACATATGTGATGGTTGGGAGCATCTGATGGATTACGTTGGGGTTCAATGTCTTTCAGAGTTGTGGATGTCAGCGATCGAACCACTGACCTTCCGATTAGTAGACGCTGCTAAAGATGTTTACAGTCCTGTTATTAACTCTTTTCTTCTTTACGTGGGACAAAAAGTTGGTTCTCATAACATGAAGATGCAGTCGTGTTTATGGTTAAGTGATGGTTAGGCGGGTTAGTATCTGTGCTTACACTAAGTGTTAGTCAGCAGGATGTTCTGCGAAGTCATGGAGACAACTCTGTTTGTGTGGTCCGCCTTTGGCAAGAGCGTCCTCTGAACTTCACCGTGTGAAGGTTTGGCCGTAGGTTTGCTTTTAGGTTAGTGCTGCGATGGCTACAACATTTTGATGGCTAAGGTAAAATGTAAAAAAACAAAACATTATGTCGTTTGTGTGGCAAGCAGAGAAACAAGGAAAGGTCAAAGGGCTTCATGGAATGAGCTGAACATTTTATTATGCCAGGTAACGTTTTTAAACTGCACATGTGGTAGGTTACGTTATCCAGTCAGAATGGACCAGCCATAAAACATTACACATCATTCGATATAAATAAAATAAATACAAGCAAAAAATAATAATTAATTAATAAATACAAAAATAAATAAATAAATAGGTAGGAAAATAAATATTTAAAAAAAACTCTTACATTTTGTCTAACAGGTTAGTGAAAACATTAACAGGACGGCTCCATCTGTGTGAAATTTTTCACCCATATCATGCTGTTTTTTAAAATACCGAAGATAGTGGTTTTCTTATTGTAAGTGTCTAAAGCCTTTAAATCTATGCTGCAATGTTGCCGGGGGGCACCAGCGAAATCTGTCTGCGCAACAGTCAAGTTGAACCGTTTAAGGAACACATTTGTGTTCTTGGTGACTTTTTCAGCCCCCAAATTTCGGTCCCCAATTACATCCTTGACGAATGCTGGCAGGCTTTCGAGGCAGCCCACAATGGCACAGATGGAATTCCTGATCTCGGTTTCGTTTCCCATTCCCCAAGTTTGTCCCTTAAGTTTCCCTGTGTCGGTTGAGTTGAGTGGCAGACCTGCGTATTTGCACTGCAAAAGAAGTGAGAGCAGTTAGCGCAAAGGCAATGATGCAGCACAGCGCTCTGAGGATGTTAGCTATACTTCCATGATAAAAATCAGAGTTTCAAAGGGTTCCTTTACAACAGATCGTGTTTATCGTGACACATAAAGTGGCTTTGACAGTTGAATGCAAATCTTTAGATTTATATTTACCGGCACATTTTATTTTATTGTACTTACATAATTATTTGTTGCCCTTTGTAGTTCGCAGAGAGATGCTTCCAAGTTCTTCTTCATTTCCTCTTTAAGCTCTTGTATAGGGTTCTTTGGCACTGGGTTGGAAGCCATAATGGGAATACATATCATCACGATGAGCGACAGATGAGGGAGCTCTGCAAGCAGTTATGCAAAAAAAAAGCTGATGTCAAAAAAAGCTGGAATCAACACTGCTGGCAGATCACCTGATCATACTAAAAAAGAAAGCTAGACTTGAGAGACTGACACTTAAACAGTTATTTCAGATGGTAAGCACACCCTCATACCTCAAAGCAGACTTACACCATAAAAGGCGGTAAAGTAGCAGAAGGATCATTCACTTCAGTGTATATTTTTATGTATATAGTGCCATTTCAAAACACTGGTTACTTCACTACAAAGTAAAAACCCTACAATCTTAGAGAAAGAAGATTAAGCATGTCGCAACAGCAGGGAGAAAGAACTCCCTTTTAACAGGAAGAAACCTGCATCGAAACCAAGATTGGAGAGGGGAGAGGAGGAGAGCGTGGAGACACACAGACAAAATGCAAACTATGAGAGGGGAAGACAAAAGTTGATGATATGCACTAGTGAAAAGAGCTGAGTGGAAAAGAAGTGCTCAGTGCATCATGGGAAATTCCCTAGCACTCTGAGGCTATAGCAGCATAACTGAGAGATGGTTTCAGTCACTTGATTCAGCTCTAAGTAAAAGCTTTATTAAACAAAACCAAAAAAAAAACAACAACCAAAAAACAATAACAAAAGCTGAAGCCTAATCTTAAAACTACAGAGGATGTCTGTCTCCTGAATCCAAACTGGGAGGTGGTTCCACAGCCGAGGCTCAAGCCCCTGCCTCCCATTCTACTTTAAGAAACTCTAGGAACCATGTTTAGCCTGCATTCTCCATCAGGACTACAGGTCTGTAAGGGCCCTGATCAATCAGTACTTTGTATGTGAGTAGAAATAGGATCTCTTCTTCTAGTCCCTGTTAGCACTCTCACTGCAGTGGATTGGACTGAAGGCTTTTTGCTTTAAGCTTTTAGAGCAAAATCATAATAAAGAAGTACAGAATAGTCCAGCATAGAGGTAACAAATACCTCAACAAGTTTTTTAGGGTAACTCTGAGGCAGTTATTGACATTATAGTATGCAGATGAAAGATGGCAGCCGTACAAATTTGTTTAATGTGACCGTTAAATGACAATGACTCCACGCTTCGAGCAGTTCTAAAAAGCCTCACTTCAAAACACACCACAACGTGAAGATAAACAGCAGCTCTACACAAAGATCTGTGTCTGATCTACGCTTTGCAGGAACAAATGATCCTCCTATACTGTTCAACTAGAAATCAAAAGGAGCTTACCTTTAATAAGACCCATGGTGTTGCCTGTTTCTGTTTGCTGCTAATGATCCTAAACTGGCACACAATGTGCTTATATACCAAAATGTGGGATTTTTTTTGTTTCAGGAGATGACGTTTGTGGCACTATCGTCCAGAGAATCTTTCTAAATGTTTCTATTTTGCAATTGTAGGTCGTTCACCACATGAACTTACTGTGGGTAGATGAAGCAAACTACCACAGAGGCATCTCAAAGATCTGATGTCTGTTGATTAAAGACAAAAAGTGGTGAACTGCAGGTAATGATTTGACTGTGTCTCCCACTGACCCCATAGTTAACTGCTTGTGGCAGTACAGGAAACCCAGAAAGACTGATCGCTTTTTGTTCTTTCTGTTTCTGAATCACATTGCTTTCCACTTTTGTTGACCAGATATTTCCAAATAAGGTCCAAAAAGCCAGATTAACTTTAACTGCGGGGCTCCAGAGGGCCAAGGCCCACCGCCTTTGGATTCAATCACAAGGGGTCGCCGCTGCAGGTAGTTTCACAAACACCGAGATGATCCATCTCCTTCATGTTATCTACACATGTTCAGTTTCTGTGTACTTGTGGCAAAATGTAATCAGCCACATGACGTTACCGATTTGTAGACTGCGTAAGAGGCCCTGAACCACGCAGGGCAGGACGGATTCAAATTTTCATGTTGTTTACACAACAACTTAAGATTCATCTGACCAGTCAATAGTTTTCCAATTAAATTTTTGACGTTCGTGGGCACCGGTTTGGCTCAGTGCGCTGAGCGGGCAACCACATGCCATTCGGCTGAGAGCGTCCCACCCGGGTTTGAGTCCGTCCCGGGTTTGAGTCCGACCCATCCCCCGCTTTCCTGTCCGACCTTCACTGTGTCTATTAAATAAAGCTGAAAAAGGCCAAAAGGTTTTTGATGTGTGAACTGAGGCCTGCTCTTAGTTGACAGGGATGGCACTCGGTGTGGTTTCTGCTGCTTTAACCCATCTTCTTCACAGTCACACATGTTGTGTGTTTAGAGATGCTCTTTATATTTGCTATACAAATAAATTTATTATTATTTGAGTTACTGTTGCCTTCCTAAGTAGAAGCAGTCCGGTCATTCCCTTCAAACCTCTGGCATTAAAAAGGTATTTTTACCCAGAGAACTTCCACTCGAGGATATTTGCTCTTTTTCGCACCAATCTCTGTAAACAATAGAGATGGTTGTGTGGGAAAATCCCAGATTAGCAGTTTCCAAAATATTCAAACCAGCTGGTCTGGCACCAACAACCAACCCACATTCAAAGTGACTTAGATCAACTTTCTTCCTCATTCTGATGCTCAGGTTTGTCTTCAGCAGGCCGGCTTGACCACGTTTACTTAAAGCAGCCTCGCAGCATCTCAGTCTGACCTTTTGAAAGGCTGTGTTGAACTACAACACATTTACTCCTAAATACAGTGTGCCGCTGCCACGTGATTGGCTTAGATTTGCATTAATCAGTTGGGCAGGTGTACCTAATGAATAAACTTAGTTTGAGCAAAATGCAAAGAGCTTCACTCACATACACTTTTTCACTTATTTATTATTCAACAACTATTCAAGTGTGGTTCAGTAGTTAGTAGTAGTAGCACCTAATAACGTAGCTGGTGTATATTTGAAGTGGAGAACAAAACTGTTCGTGGAAATAAGGGGAGCCATAACTCCTCATACCTGAGAGTAATTTCCACTCAGGGTTTCACAGACATGTCTACAATGGTTCCAGTTCCAGTAGACTCACACAAGCATTGAAGATACTGAGTCATATTCAAAATCTACTTTATTGGTACACAAATTTCATAGAAATTAATCTAAGAAAAAGAAGTCAGAGTTTTTCCATTCTCAGACACAACACAGGATCTTATCACCTTGTAGTCTGTGTAAAAGGTTTTTATCTGAAAACGTTATCACTAAATGTCACCTGCAGTCTGTGTCAGTTATCTGAGATCTCAGTTTACTAATTCCATTCTCCTTGTGGTTTACGGGGAACTCTGTCACTCGATTACTGGAGAATTCCACAAAACATTTGTGCACACCTAACTCAACAATAATTAATAAGCTGCCATAAATTTTTGCCAGATGTTCACACTTCCCAGAATGTGAATCCAACTCAGTTTCCAACTCAATCCCAGGCCTCACTGCAGCCGCATAAAGGCCACTAATGTCTGTTCAAGCATGGGGTAAAAGAGACAAACCCGTATAACAAACACACTCATTCATATATTTCCTCATTGAACAGTAATTTCCAGTGGACAAGCACACAAACAACATCCTTATATTTTCAAACTTTTACAAAAACTCAAACAACTCACCCATCAGAACTTCATCTTTTGGACCTTGTGTTCAGCAAAGTAACTGACAGCACTGCTCAATTCCAAAATCCTTGTGGTTTACTCATCCTGCTCTCTTCCCTCTTTCCCCCTGTGAGCACTTCCTTGCTTTGGTTGCTAAATATATATTTTAAAAAGCCACTGCGCTTAGTAAGTGCTCTGAGCGAAACACAGGTGGCATCAACAGGTTTGGGCACATTTTGCAGAAATGACAGGAAGCAAGACGAGGAAGTAAAGCAATATATTTCGCCAGAATCCCCCACTGGCAACAAAACATAAAATGCACCTATTAAATCAGTGGAGTGTAAAAAGTCTGAGTAAATATTTGCAGCTAAAATCCAGTTCATCTTTTTGTTCACAGTAATTGTGAAAAACACTGACTTTATTTTACACTTCCTCATTATTTTCTTTAAAATCCATCACTAAATAAAATGTATTATGAATACGAGTCAGTATCTTTAATGCTTCCACAAGTCTTATCATGTAAATCGATCAATAATCAGTGCAACACATGCCATTTAACATTAACTTTCTGTAGGCTCACCTGCACGTCCCCCACGGTGAAAATGTGTGGTCACCCAAATTCATTGTCATCCTATAAGAAAAGCCTCCACAAGAGCAAATTTAAAATCGATATTTAGTGTTAAACTAAATACCTGAAAATGTAAAGACATTCCTATCGGGCTCTTTACCCCAAAGCACCTTTGTGCTTAAATATACAGCTGCATGGAGCTGCTACATCAAGCCTTTGTCTTTGTCAGATGACTGGTGTTAATCAGTAAATCTGAGATGAAAACGATTGAAATGCACACATTTACTCTTCCATTCAAGGAAAAACACAGATTTAATTAATAATAAAGTTACGTTTGTACCTGTCAGGAATTATTGTGTCATTATTATTCACCTCTGTATCTCCTTCCTGCAAGCGTCTGGAAGCTGCCAAGGGTTAATTGCTAATTGTTTACATTAACAAGGTGTGGCTAGAGGTGTGCATTTGGCTAGCTTTGGGGCCTGGTTAAGTAAAACTTGAACAAAGAAAAAGAAGAAATACTGAAAGGAAAGCAAGATGGCAGTGAAAGAATAAAACTTAGAACTGATTATCAGTCAACCATCTTTTTAGCTAATGTTTAAAACATTGTATGTATGCTGCTGTCTGATGCTGATGGGGACACTTTTGCACAGCCTTTGCAGAGTCACATCTACGTCTGTTTATCCTGATGGTAAAAACGTTTGACATAAATGTAAGACAAATTTTCACGTGTCCATGTGACCAGATTTTTTTCAAAGCTAAGTAAGCTGCACTGTTAAAGCATTAGACTGCGACTGTGTTATAATACAGTAAATTAAATTGGGGAAAAAAATCTGAGAAAACATTTTAGCTGCACGAACAGACGCTTTATTAACTATTTATTTGAAGATGACATTTTTCAATGTGACTACTTTTTTAAATTTAGGACTTAAAAGAGAGTTTAGAGTCATTCAATTTCCCAAATATTCATCACAATCAGCAGTTTTTCTGCAATATGTAAATATTACTTTCTAGACTGTCCTGATTTGGTGAAAAACACACATGCTGTTTTAGAAACTTTTAACCAAAGACGAGAATGATTCAGCCTTCCTTTTGTGGTTTCCTGCTAACCTTGTTTCTTCTCGTAACTTTGTATGGTGTCAGTTGTATTTAGCAGCATTTTAGAGAAAATCTGACTATCTTCCTTTAAATCGACTCCTAGTAGCGAATGACCCCAAATAATTCACTTATTGTTTTTTTATGAAGTGTTCTTTCCCTTTTTTTTCAGGAGTCCAAATAACTTTTGTTTTCTATAAAAGTAACATCTTTAATTTGCCAGTGAGGTAATGATCAGTCAGTCCAGTAGTCATGTTATAGTCATACCCATTATAATAACCTCTTTATTAAAGCATTACATTCATTTAACAAAGCTAGAAAGTTATTTGATGAGGGTGGCCTGTAAATAACTATCAAAGTAAAAGTCCTTTGTGGAAATAACACTATATTAAGGCCAATACGTTCTAATTCAATACAGTTTGTCCACTGGATTACATTACTGCGAATACCCTAGTCCATAAAAACCATAATCCCTTCACCTTTTGCAACTCCACTCTCTTCTGTAGATGTTGTAGCCAACCACATTTAGTGCAGCAGAGCCATAATTTGTAGGAGAAAGTCAGTTCAGTTATTGAGAGCAAAAAAGAAAGACAGAATAGTAGTTGGGTGTAAATAAGATAAAAACCCACAACATGCATGCAGGGGATGATGGAAAACTATAGTCAGGAAGAATAAAGAAGAATCAAGACAGGCAAAGAATAAAAGTTAAAATTTATTGATTAAAAACAGATGAATAGTGATGATTTAGGAAGTATGGCAAAGTCGTCAGGTGAATGACCTTCAGTCGGCTTTTCTGTCCACTTCCAAACACAAATCCTTTCTACTAAGGCAAAGGTCATCTCACCACAGAGACAACCATTAAGGCCAAAGAATCACTCACAACAAAGAAGCACCAAGCTTCATCAGAGAAGAACAGCCGTCATTTTATTCAGTTAATGTGTTTGATTTTTAATGGTTAGTAAAACAGAGGACTTCAGAGCCATTCATGCCGAACTCCCTCCTAATGTTTCACAGGGTAGCTGCATGGAGCCCCAGGTGTTGCCAGGCAACCCTACAGGCATTTGTAAACAAAGAGCAGAAGTCCTTTTCTTCTGACAGACAGACCAAAGACTGACCATGAATGCACGAACTACACTAGCTACAGTGGGACCGTGGTGTAAATCCGCCTAAATGTGATGACTAAGTCAGCTACACAGTGACTAAGTCAGCCATGAGCTCAAGCACACTGTCTGCTGTGATAGAGAAGCTGATTCGCAGCCTATGTCTGAATGACTTTCCCGGTGGAAATGGCACATGGGTAAGTATCTTAAACACTGACTTATCTATAAATACTTTAGAGTCTAAGACATTAAAAACATGGATTCAATCTGCAGAGAAACACCAAAGGGAGTGCGGAGCGAGCAGAGATGGAGTCCACAGATGCTCTCCTGGATCTGCTGAGCTGCCCTCATTCTCCATGGCGCCATGATGCAATGTGGAGCCCTCAAGCTTTGCCTCTCAGACAGCTGGCAGTGCTCACACCTGAACGCCTCCACGCCCCCTTCATTTACAACTACTTCACTTCACTTCGTATTGTTGACAGAGACGTGAGTAGGCCTCTCATTAGGAGTGCACCTGTGTTCACTGATAGCCTTTGGCAACAGTCATTGATCAGTCTATGATCCACAGTCATTCAGAATAAAACATTTTGTAGCCCAGATTGAGAAGGAACCATATGAGGTATCTTCACTGACTGTGATGTGCAACATAAAAAGTAATAATTTTAATAAAACTCAAAAAACAACAGTTGAAAAAGAAAAAGAGTTTTGTAATATGAAGGGTTATTGGGGGTGAATTTTATATTTGTCCCAATGTTAAACTGCTGTCAGTTTGTCTAATGTTTCTTCGCCACAGATTAGCTCAAAGCTACCAGTTTGCCTCGGATGACTCCTCACCCCACTATTTATCATAGCACGGATTTATTTAATGTTTGATGCTTTTACACATTTGTAAAGGTTTATCTTCTGTCTGTCTGCGTGTTCAGGTAACAGCCATTGACGGTGGTCTGTTGAAGTTCTCAAAGCTGGAGGAGCTGGTGCTGAATGCTAACAAAATCTCAGAAGTACCCACAGTACACCTTCCCGGCACTTTAAAGGCAAGTCCCAGTCCTGCTTCAGCTTGAATTTGCAGCTCTTAACAGATTAAGTGTAGACAGCATTGTTATCATTTAAATGTGATTCATGATTCACCAGAAAACACTATAGCTGTCCCTTTCTGCATCATCAAAGATGACACCCTTGCTTTCGGATTTACCCATGAGATCAGACGTTTAAATACTCTCATCATTGCCATAAATGTCATGGTAATTTTGGACTTTAAATGATTTCTTTTAACTGTATTTTTTCCAGAGTACAATGATTGTACAGCATACCTCTAATGATTTAACAAAAACAACAACAAAAAAGAAATTAAATGCACAAGTTTGAATTTTTTTTGATTTTCTCTGATCCACACAGGGCCAGAATCATACAAATATACAATATGAACATGACGCACAACCAGTAGTTCCTCTTTGCAGCATAAAAGTATTTGTTTGCCAGCACTCACTGGATTGACCAATACTTTGGAACAATGAAAAACATTCATGGAACTCAGTGAAAGAATGAGAATGCAAAATTACACAAGTTGGGAAAGTCTCTCTCAGACATTTCTCAACAACTTCAGGTTTCAACAGCATTAGTTCAAACTGTGTCACCACTTTTCCAAGGTGTGGAGGAAGACCCATATGATCACCATCAGAAGAGATTGCTTGGGATGTTCATGAAGCTCCGAGGCTCAAGCCTGCCATGAGCTGTTGGACAGTGTTACTCTCCAACAGTGAAGCCAGTCTTATATCTCTATGAACTGAGAGGCTGCTGACCAAGAAAGAAGCCCCTGCCTTAGTTGAAACCTTTAAGCTCAGTTGAATGAAGTTTGCAAAGCCCTCTGGAGAAAAGTTTTATGGTTAGATGAGACAAAGACTGAGCTATTGAGTTTGGAAGAATCAAGGTGAGCTTTCAAATCTGAGAACACTGTACCAGCTATCAAGCATGGCGGCGGTTGCATCATGCTCTGTTTTGCTGCCATTTATATTGTCACATTGCAACACATGCAAGTGGATAGAATAATGGAGGAGGAGGACTACCTCTAAATCTTTCAACTTCACCTCAAATCAACAGCTACATGGTTGAAAGTTGGACACATTTGGCAGTCCCAGCAGGACAATAATCCCCAAACAAACTGGTTTTGGAATGGACACAGTAGGCTAACATTAAACTTCCCTTAATGACCTTCCCAAAGTCTGGTTAAAAGTTGGGTCTGTGCCAGCAAAATCAACCAGTTTGAACTCGAACAATTCTGCCAAGAAGAGTGGTCAAATATCCAGCCAGGCTACCAATAGTGTCTCATCCAGGTGCAACTTGCTAAGGGGCGTTTAACCAAATATTAGTGGGGGTGTATGTAAAAGTCTGAGCCTCTGTGTACATGTTTACACCGTGTGAAGACGAAATCCAAAATAAATTCAAACTTCTGCACTCAATTCTTGTTTTTTAAAGTCATTAAAGACATGTGTGCTGTAAAAAACTGTAAACCACGGAAAAATAACAGTTCAAATTAGCACTAAACCCATGATGACTGTGTGTAAATTCTGAACACAAGCGTCTGTGGGAAAGTGGTTTTAACGTGTTGATGCACTGAAAGCTTAGCCCAGCACAGTCTGGCAGTGACGGCCTGAACGAGGGGTGCGTAGAGTCATCTGCAAATCCAGCCACACTGCTGGCTTTGCAGATGCAGTGAGAATCAGATTCAGATTCTGTGATGGAGGAAAGAGCTTCTCAGCTGTTCTCACTCTCTGCCACACAGTCTCTCAATCTGATTTTGTGCAGTTTCACTATCATATACCGATGCAGCTGCTCTGGATGGTCTTGATAGTCCCTCAGTAGGAATGTGGTGAGGATGGGAGGTGGGATGTAGGCTTTCCTCAGTTTTTGCAGAAAGTAGACATCCTGGCTATTGAGATGTTCAAGTTCTGCACCAGGCGAAGACCGAGGAATCTGATGCTCTTGACAACCACAGCCTAGATAACACGAGAAGGTGACAATGACAAGTGCTGCAACCAGTGTGCAGTGTCACACTTGCTCTTTTGCTTTCGCATTCTCGCTCTTTGTTCCCTCTCTCTTTCACTCTTTTATCTCTCTTTGTCTCTTTCGTTCAGCGTGCACACAATAACGCATACATGCCAAGGACTGTGAAGCTTTAAAGTTTTGGGCTTTAATGCACAATCAGACTTATAGCTCAGCAGCTCAAGTCAATCAGTCCTTGGTGTTTATTTTGTTTGTTTCTTTTTCATTTTCAGATCTATGATGATAACGCCCAGCAGGCTTTTATCTGAAAGTTCAGAGAACATAGTGTAGCTGATGCTGCATGGAGATGAGTGAGTGACACATTTTGACCATGTTTCTTTCAAAGATTTTGGAGCTACGTGCAAACCGGCTGTCGTCTTTAGACAGCCTCACCAGCGGTGCTCCTCCTCCCCACCTGCAGTACCTCGGCCTCGGCTCAAACACTCTGGGTTCCCACAATGATGTCACTCATCTTACTGGAAGACAGTGGTTAGTTCATAATACACACCACACATGCACAGACACACACACATACACACAAACCGGAAGCTTTCTGGCATTTTAAAGAAAACCAAACCAGGTCAAATCAAGCTTTCAAGTGCAATTGTGTACTTTCTAATCAGTCAGCAGGTGACATTACTTCATTGCAGGTTGCTTTTATGTGGATTTACTTCTCTTTCACACCTGTGTGTCATACTTGCACTTATCAAACTGAAGCAATATCAGCTGGTTTGCTGCCAAAGTGGCCACCAGAGACTAAAACACACCCTGTTGGGAGTAAAATCTTTTCATCTCACCCACAAAACTGTGAGGAAAAAACAGAGCTTTCACAGTTTACAGAATTATAATACCAGAGGGGAATACAGGTCTGATGATGTCTGTGTCTGTTGCAATCAAAAGGAAGTAATACAGCTTCATGTTAGAGCTCTGAGGCTTCTGCTCTTAATCATCACTTAACCAGAACTGCAGACATCTACAAACCCGTCAGGATTTTTTAGAACAGGAAGTGTTAAACATCTTGTGAAAACAGGAGTATAATGGCTCGTACAGGGGAGAGAGGAGCCTTGTTGAGCAGCTTTTGGATGGACTTCTTTTGTCCTCCACTTGTCCAGTTCCCTCAAGATTTTTTAAGGACACACTGCACACAGTGCCCATAAATGTCATGTTTTTGGCTTGTAGCTCGTTGGAAATCGTCTCATTGGTGCAAAAATACTATTTTATGCCTACCAAACTATGTTATGTTATATGTTGGGTGTAGTCTATGTCATTTTCACCAATTCAGTTAATGAAATGGGAACAAGTGGTGTGTTTTTATTTTATTCATAGGTCAAACAAAAAAAACAAGCAAAAAAACCCCCAAAAACAAAAAACACAACAAAAACTTTACTTTGAAAATGGACAATGACAAGAAGTGGACTGAAAACGAGTGAAAAACAAACAAAACACTTTAGAAAGCCTGGAAAACGAATGCTCAACACCAATTAAAAAATAGCTTGGGTCCTTGGAAGCAAAAATATAGAGAAGACTTTTACACAGTATTTTATAAATCTACAAAAATGTGATTTGAACGTTGAGTGAACCATGGAAATTCATGAAGTGTCTTGATAGAGTGTCGGGTGAGCTGCTTCTGTGCACCTTTAGTTTTTTCAAGATCAAGATCAACCCCCTTCAACCTGATAGCTGTGAAGGCCACAGCATTCGAATGATATCACGGCCTATAAATGAGCAGCTCGTATCAGGAAAATCCCAGCAGAAATTTACCATCGTAATGCAAAAATGATCAGTCAGAACAGCATCGTCATGATTTGCAGTGAATTTTATCTCCATTGGTGGGCGGCTGGATCCCCGTTGGTACACATGCACACACAGTTTGTGATTTTAAGGGTAACTTTCCAAGTGTGACCACTGACTGAGGGTATTTTAGAGCCTGAGATTGTCTCAAAAAGACACAGTTGCATTGATGTTTATAGTTTGAAACACTAGAGGACCAAACATACAGCTTTGATTTTATTTCTTTTTTGGAGTTACGTTGATCAGGTGCCTTCTGTGGCCCCCTTGGTCCATTCACTGAGACGGTGTCCCACATTTCGAATGGCGTTCATTTTTGAAACTCAACTCTGTGAGAGAGACAGACGCAATGTTTCTGTTACGCAGTGAACTTTATCAGTAAAAGTTGGACTTGTCTTGGCTGTCATCATGGGTTTCCTGCAGGTTAACCTGACACCGCCCTTTGCTGCCTACGCTACACCCAAAGATTGCAGCTCACAACTGATAAACACCACATAAGAAAAAATTAGAAGGAAATTCAGCTACATCAGTCAAGACCGGGAAACTTTAAGTAACTGGCTTAAACTAGTCAAAAGGGTTTTTACAAGTGCTCATCAGTCATTTGTGTGCCATACAATGAAACTGTCATTGGTTGCATCCCAACTGAAACCTCAGCATTAACAACCAGAACAGCAAAAAGGAAGGAAGGAAACAAAAACAGGCATGACATCATAGACGGAGGAAAAAACAGGTTTAAAAAAAGAAAAAAAGAAAGAAAAGAAAATCAAAATTTTAAAAGAGATTTTAAAGGCGATTTAAGTGAATCTGGGATGTCGCGGGAGGAGATTTGCATTGTGGATGCAGAATGAGATTATTACATCTGGATCTTAAATGACTGGCACACACACCGTAGCTGACATTTAGCGATAACTGTGATAACAGCCTACAAGGATGCTGTGTCATAGCCGTTCGCAGTTGACTTGATTTTGATTTCCCAGATAAATTTCTTTGAAATTCATGACTAAATAAAGCATATTTTGAATATGACTGACGTGTTTAGATCAGGGATATCAAACTCCTTTTATAGTGTGGGCCACATACATTTTGAACTTAATTAAGTGGGTCGAATTGGTGAAACTCAGCCTGTATTTATATTTACTGTGAGCCCAGTGTAAAAAAAAAGATCAATTTTTTGATCTTTTTTTATGTTTGACACCCCTGGTCTAGAGAAACTGTAACTATTTTAGACACGGACGGATTCGTGTCAGTGCGACCCTGGGTGGAAATTACACTCAGGGATGAGGAGTAATGGCTCCTGCGTTTCTGTGAAAAACTATTTTGTGCTCCTCAGTTTCACTATGTATATACATTCCCTGGCCACTTTATTAGGCACACCATTTCAGCTGCTCATGAGCGCAAATATCTAATTAGCCATTCACGATGTAGCAATACAGTGTGTTTAGGCATGTATGAAACTGAGTATCAGAATGAGGAAGAAGGATGATTTAAGTGAGTTTGGATGACAGCTGTTGATCTTCAGGGATTTCCCAGAACCATCTCTATGGGTTATAGAGAACAGGTTGAAAAAGAGAAAGTATCCTGTGTGTGTGTGTGTGTGTGTGTGTGTGTGTGTGTGTGTGTGTGTGTGTGTGTGTGTGTGTGTGTGTGTGTGTGTGTGTGTGTGTATTTTTGATATATATTATTATATTTTTCTTTATGACTTTTATGTCACACCCAAAACAACCTGCTGACATTCAATTGGGGTGAAAAACGAAAAGCTGCTTGTCAGCTGAGAGAGGGAGATAAGCTACAGCAGCCAAAGGCCGCAGTGTGTCCCACACCTGTTAGCTAAGAACAGGAAACTGGGGCTACAATTCACACAGATTCAACATGAAAACATGGTGAAAAACATGATCCATCCTGCCTCATATCAACAGTTCAGGCTGACTGTAAAAGTGAAACAGTGTTTGTGTGTGTGTGTGTCTGTGTGTGTCTGTGTGGTGTGAGGTATTTTATTGGCACACTTTGGCCCTCTTAGTACGAACTATCTGAGTATTATCCATCCCATGAAGATGGATGGAAGATGTGTTAAAACACAGTTAATAGCTGCATGAATGAAATAAGATATCTGTCATCTTCTTTAACATCTATTTGGATCACAAGTTGTCTCACACACATCTGTCCTGTAAAGCCAGCACCTCTGTCTGTCCTCAGGCCACAGCTGGTGTGTCTGGACCTCAGCGACTGTGGGTTTCAGGACCAGCCAGCTCTGCTAAATGGCTTGAGCACCCTGCCTTGCCTCAGGACGCTGCTGCTGGAGGGAAATCCTTTCGCGCTTGCGTCTTCATACCCAGGACTGACTGTGGACAGCCTCCCGCAGCTTTCCTGTCTGGACACCTCATGGATTTCCCCGGAGGAGAGGATTCGCTTTAGGGGCTTGGCCAAGATGAGTGGTGAGTGTGTAAGCTGCCCTATGAGCCCTGTGAGCGAGGGCCCCAGATTTCTATATAATTTTAATGCACACTGAGCATGTGCTTACAGGTCATAACATCAGAATACTTTTTACTTTGCACAGGCCTGGCAGTAGGCATAGCGTCACCCACAGTGAGCGTGGGCAGGATGATGGGAATTCCAGATCCTCGGATGACTGTGGATGACAAAGCTCCCGTTTTCCCTGTGGTCAGCTACCACTATTTTATCACCTACGAGTTCCTGAGGCATCAGACACCTGCTCACTCGGTGACGTATCCTTCCCACACATTTTTAGCATAGCTACAAGTTTAAATGTTTTTAAATGTTTTGGGCCTCATTCTAATATGGTTTTAAGCATTTAAGCTTTGGACGTACAATTGTCAGAATAAAGAGTGCAATTTAGTCAAACAACATATTTCCTTCCTGTGTTAAAAGATAAAGCTACCCACACGCTGATAAGTTCGTCATTTGTTGTTTCCACCTTGGTTACGCAATCTCTCTACTACACACTACATCTTCACATCTTTCTTCTTCTTCTTTATTAAAATTTTACTACAAATTGAGGTTTGTGGGGTTTTTTAACCTCACCTTTCTTTTGTTGCATGTGATTAATGTATTTACTTCACTGCTGTAACTAAATTAAGAGCAACAAGCAGCAACAAAATCCTTCTAAAATCTCTATCTAGCAATTTACCGGCAATCTTAAGATTTGCTTTAAATTTCTAAATATCTTTTAATGTAACTGTATCTAATGTATTACATTAGATACAGTTACAAATCCTGTTTAACTTTAACAGGCCAACAAAGTTTTGCTTGCATTTACAGAAAAAGGTGAACGAGTCATGGTGAAACATAGACATGGACTTTATTTAATCCCACATTGGGGAAATTCACTTATTACAGCAGCACAAATGTGAAATTGAGATATTATATATTAGAAAACTAAAAATAGAAAAAATTTATAAGAAAAATCGTGTAACGGCTATTACATGCAGTAAAATGCAACAAGATTTTTTGTACAGTTCAGTGAGAGTGAAGGAGAAATATTGTTAGTATTAATTTTACATGGCATGAGTAATATTTTTATGTTATTATAATACAGTATATATACATATGTGTGTGAGTGTGTACCTGTTTAGACATCTTTGTGGGGACCAAAAATCCTGGTCCCCACAAGTTTGAAGGCATTTTTCAGACTTAAAATGTGGTTTTAGTGTCAAGGTTACAATTAGGTTATGGTTAGGGTAAGGGTAAGGGTTAGGCATTCGTTTTTGATGGTTAGGGTAAGGGTAAGCGGCATGGGTAAGTACATGAGTACACACGTGCCATAGGACACATTTACAGTGCAGTAATGTTTAAAAAAAATGTTGCATTTACTGACAAGGTTTGGGAGCATTAATAGTTTTCTTTTTTTTTATACTTCTTTAATATGTAAATGTATTTATTCTTCTAAAATGGCAACTGCTTGTTTTTCTACTACACATCTGTCAGATCTGATGACTTTGTGGCCATTGACTGATTGACTCAGTAGCCACTTTATTAGGTATAGCTGTATGTTAATGCAAAAATCTAATTAGCCAGTCACACAGCAGCAACTCAAAACAACCCGCTGACGTTGACACTGAGCACCAGAACGGGGAATAACTATTTCACACACTGCTGATCTACTAGGATTCTAACACACAACCATCTCATACACACAATGCTCTAATCGCTGGAGAGATTGTAACTCCACTTTCTATGTTGTAGACAGCAACAAGTCTTTAACGTCACAAAAACACAATACACAAGCCACCCACTTCAGTCAAAAAGGAAAACGAGCACATCATTTCCTAAATTTAAGCACACAACTGGGAGGAAAAAAGTACTCAGAGTACCACAGAAGTAAAATTATCCCATTACTCCAAATTGAAATTGATTTTCTTTTTTTTTTACAGAAACTTGACACTGAGACAAAATCTGACACAAGATCTGTGACTGAAGGCCAACGATCAAACGAGAACGGCGAAAAACAGACGTCCAAACAAGATGGCGGCATTCTGAACTCAGAGAAACCCAGTTGTGGCAACACATGTGGTAATAACACTTATCTCATCTGACCTGTGTGTCTTTGACATAAACGTCTGACTGCAGATGAAGCACAGCAGACACTGTGACAGCTTTTTGTACAGACACTTTGATTTCTTAAACTTGGTGATGTGTCCTGTTCAAATGAGAGAATTTTTCTCTTATAAAGTTTGTGGAATTTACACAAGTGCTTTAAAGGAAACTACAGTCAGATCAGCCGATGAAGAGCTGTATGCCTACATAACCTGAAACCAAATGACGAACCTGATCTTTTATCGCCTTCATCAGGTGTCAAAGGCACTGATGAGCAGCCAGTTTATATCTTGTTTACTTGTGTGTTTTCTTTTACTGCAGTGTGTAGTCATAACGATTCAAAAGCTGGACTTTTTTGTATGTTTTTCTTATTTACTCCTCAGAAGTGTTAAGGCACAGCACGTCCAAGCTGTCGTGGTCAGAGAGCATGGACTTCGGTGACACGCAAACCCACACTGTGAGCGCTCTGGGAGATTTAAAGAAATTCCTCAATCGGGGACTGCGTTTATGCTTAGAGGAAGAAAAGGTACAGAAAGTCAGGTTTGATAGGGTGTGTGATTGCTCAGGCCTGCAGCCAAATTTTTCTGATTCACTGAAAGTTCTTCACTGAAACCTGAAATGACTCAAAGGCACTTTGAAGAAGTTAAAGTGCTTCATTGGGGTCATCTTGAATTCAAAGACACACAAAAATCAAAGTGAAAAAATGATCACTTTCCGGAAAAGGGTGGAGTGCCCACTCCGGGTCAGGGACGAGACCCTGAGTTTAAGTATCTCGGGGTCTTGTTCACAAGTGATGGGAGAAGGGAGCGAGAGATCGACAGACGGATTGGTGCAGCGGCTGCAGTGATGCGGACGCTGTACTGGGCTGTTGTGGTGAAGAGAGAGCTGAGTGTGAAAGCAAAGCTCTCAATTTACCGGTTGATGTACGCCCCTACCCTCACCTATGGTCAGGAGCTGTGGGTAGTGACTGAAAGAACGAGATCGTGGATACAAGCGGCAGAAATGAGCTTCCTCCGAAGGGTGGCTGGCCTCTCCCTTAGAGATAGGGTGAGAAGTTCGGCCATTTGGGAGGGGCTCAGAGTTGAGCCGCTGCTCCTCAACATTGAACGGAACCAGCTGAGGTGGTTCGGGCATCTGACAAGGATGCCTCCTGGGCAAGGCCTTCTGGGCGAGGTCTTCCAGGCATGTCCCACCAGGAGGAGGCCCTGGGGCAGGACACACTGGGTAGATTATATATCTCGGCTGGCCTGGGAACGTCTTGGTGTTCCCCCGGATAAGCTGGAGGAGGTGGCTGGGGAGAGGGAGGTCTGGGCTTCTCTGCTTGGGCTGCTGCCCCTGCGACCCGGCCCCGGATAAGCGGAAGAAAATGGATGGATGGTTGGATGGATGGAAAAAATGATGCTGCAGGCTCGTCCGTTTTGCCAAACTTTCAATGCAGCAACTCAGAATGGTCTGTATGACCCCATGTGGTAGTATGCACGTAATGTGACGATGGATGAGGTCCTGCGGATCTAATCCCAGATCTGGACCAGGGTATCACTCTTGGACAGTCTGAGGTGCAACCTGGTTAGATGGACTACCCCTCCATGGGTATACCTCCCCAGACAATCACTGGGTCACCACCAAACCGGTCATGCTGAAGGATGTTACAGGCAGCTTAAGGTTCACCTCAGCCTCTCCTGACCCTTTCATGTCTGTCACATGTGCTCAGGGTGAACCAGCTCTCATTTGTGAAAAGTGGTGGACCTGCCAGTTCTGGTATTCTGTAGCTAAGAGCCAGACAGTGAGCACAGCGCCTACTAAATGACATTGTCCTCAGGCCACCCTCATGAAGTCTGTTGAAGTCTGAGGTCATTTTGTAGCTGTGGCAGAGCTTATCTTGTTCCTCTGTGCGCACTAGGGTAGATACCGGTCCTGTTGATGGCTTAAGGACCTTCTACGGCCCTGTCCCGCTCTACTAGAGTAAGTGTCTGTCTCCTGGAATCTCGTCCATGCTATCGAGACTGTCCTGGTCCAGGTGTTACCTCCTACCACCAGCAGTGACACAGATCCTACTGCCAGCAACCTCCACCTGTAAAACCATTCGTGTTATGGGGGTTGTCTTATTGTTCTCACTGTAGTGCACCTGTTGTTAATTTCATTAACACCAAAGCATCTGAAACTGTTTAAAAAAAAAAAACTCTGATACTAAACTGACCTGATCAATATCCCAGGAGTTTAATCGACTTGATGCTGCACTCTGATTAAAAAGAGTTCCAGTTGATGATAACCTTGGGCCTGTTCAGTACTAATGTTGTCTCTGTAAGCTTATTGATGAGGCTCTCCACAACAGTCAGTTTATCATGTTGACCAAAATTAATTGGTTAAACCTAAAAATAAATATATTAGAAGCAGGAGACAATGAGCAGGTCACAAGCATGTGTACTCGTACTCAGGGTCTCAGCCCTCCTGAGAAATGGGTCATTTGGTAGCAAATCAAACACACAGATGCAATAAGGGAGGAAGGCACCTTATCAGATTTAGCACATAGAACACCAGAAATATTCAATTTTATTTCTGAAGCAGACAATGAGCTGAAGATTTGTTGGCCAGTGTGAGTCGCAAAATGCATCGAAACTCATAGTTTGCGGTTTTAGGTCCTGTCGTGGCCTGCAGCTTCTGAAGAAGTCCCGCTGACCAAAGCCAACCAAACTGGAAAAGAGAAGAAAGGCAGGAGGGAGAAAGAAGTGAGTGTATCATGTAATACCATTGAACTGTAGGTACAGCCATCACCTAACTCACCGACTGCAGACACAATAATGAACTTATTTTCAGGGAAATCTTGCACTGTTGTGGAACGTGGAAGAAACTTTGTGATGTGGAAAGATACTCTGATTTTTACGTCTGGGTTCAGTGTCGGAAGCTATGCTTTATTGCATACTGTATATTCCTTTCAACGCTGATGGTGCCTTTACTTCAGAGATGCAGGCTTTTGACGAGTGTCAGGGGTGATTTGTGTAACACTAGGCAAAAGCATATAAAGGTTCAAAAGTTCAAAATGGACCAAAAAGTGACCCTTGGGGAATCCCAAGAGCTGTTTCTGTTTGGTGCTTATCATAAATACTGAGAGATTAAAGGTACGCACATTTTTTCTGTTACGGTGGAGTGGGTGGAGATAAGTGTCAGGGAAATAGCAGTAAATCTAAAAAACAACTAAAAAGTTCATGTTTATATGTGGCACCTTCTTTTTTGCATAACAGACCTTTAACATGCACTTGATGGTACAGGGAACTGTGATCTCAGATGAATATTTCTGGAGGTGTTCCTGAGTCCATGCAGGGATTTCTGTGACATGTTTTTAATGCAGTGCTGCCTGACGATCCAACGATCTCTTGCGTACAGAGATTCCTCCAGATTATCTGAATCTGTTGATTTGATTATTCTGAAATCATTTATAGATGCAGTTTTTTGCAGGTTGGTGAACCTCTGCCCATTTAAGTTCTGTGTAACTTTCCCTCTATAAGATTATATCCAATCATGTTACTGACCAGTTGCCAGTAAACCTAGTTGTAATAGTCACTTACTTTTTCAGGTTTTTGTTGCTCCCGTGCCAACTTTTTAAAGATGTGTTGCTGCCAATAAAAATATTAACTCACTCACTTTAAACACTTTCTGTGTCCTGTGGTGAATAAAATTTGGGTTTATGGATTCTGGTTTTATTTTATTTTTTTTATTTTTTTTAGAAATGGGGTTGTAATCAACTGAAACATAATAACTGCTGGGAAAGCCTCAATGGGACTGTATATAAACAGAAAGTTATTTAATGTCACTGGTCTCTTCTTTCTAGTCTCCAGTTAAATCTGATTTCACCAAGTCTAAAGACAAAAATAAAAAATCTGTAGCTGAGCTGGTCCAAGATGCCCCGATCAGACGAATCCTTGGCTCCGTGCACATCCCCCTGCAAAGCCTGGTCAGAGGAGGCCAGCAGGTTAAAGTCCTCTGTGACTTTGGCATGCTGCACACAGACTCTGAGGTGGAAGCAACACAAACACATCAAAAGGCAAGTTTGCACATATGAGTTTATGTTTTGCTGAGATATTATTGCTGTTTTCTGGATGAGTTACATGGGACAAAGGTTAAAATAGGAAAATCCATCCAAAAGAGTAGCATTGTAGGAAAGGACACAAAAAACAAATTGACATGTCTGGGCTATTTTTTTTCCGTACATCTTTAGGATTTGGGAAGGAAAAACAAAGAGGACAAGAAGAAGGAGGACAAGGAAACAAAAAGGAGACAGCACAATGCAGCATCGTCAAAAGGTTAGCGAGAAGACTGCTTCATGACATGGCTTTGACATACATAAGACAGGATAAAAGCACCAGACCACTTTGAGAGTCAGAGCAGCTGTAGATGCTGTGGTCTGTGTCTAGGAGAGGATATTAAGAAAGAAGGCAAAGAATGAAATTGCATCATTAGTCAGTGAGCTTTTCTTTTTCCGTCTCTGTAATCCTGCGTGATGTCGGCAGATAAAGAGAAGAAGTCACTTGAGGTGCACGACTCAATAACCAGCCAACAGGAACCGGTGATTGTGGAGCTGATTGTGGAGCTGAAGAAATGGCAGACTGCATCTGAAGCTCACCACTTCCTCCTGCCACAAACCTCCTAAGGCAGACTGCTCTCCCCGGGGTCCGTTTGTCCTTCCTTCCTCATGACTGTTAACTGTGACCATACCGTTGATTTAACTGCATAATAAATTTCTTGCCTCTGCAAAGTACCGCGTTACCAGGCTGCTGTATTTGCATCCTATGTGCATCCTATGTGCATGTTCTGTGTGCATTTAAGTGGACTGGAAAATGTCCGTACTTAGGGCTTATTCAGAACCTCAAATTAAATATCATACCCAACTTTGTGTTCATGTGACATGGAAAAACCGCCCAGACTGACAGATTCCTTTTAACTACATGGAAGCTATTTTTTTTACTTAAATCCACTCAGTGAATCACCATCTTGTGGTGGTGGAGGGGTTTGTTTGTCTCAGTGAGCCCAGGGGCTATGTTGCTGAGGGGTTTTTGCCCCAAAGCAAATTAGTCCTGTATGAAGGGCCAGACAAAGAGTGATTCAGAGGACCTCTGTAGAAGTAAAGAAATCAAGAGAACGAATTACTGTGCCCAAGATGGGGTTACCAGGGCCCCTGCCCTGGAGCCAGTCCTGAGGAGGGTGGTCAAGTGAGAGCGCCCTGGGCCCGTTGGACCCAGCCACTCCAGTAGGGTGGGTTCAGTGATGGAGAATGTCAGCACTGAACCCCATTAGAGCCTAACTTTTTATATTTTTTCAAGTGACAAAAAGCAGTTGTGGTAACTTTATTACATTATTAAAGTGATTATCAAAGCTTAGATCACTGTCGAAAAAATAATGCCAAGCTTCATAACTTGTTCACTGTGTTTCAGAGAAAGGATGATAAATTATTTTATGTCTTTGACTTTTTGGAGTAACAACAAATATTTCCATCTTATCTCTTTTCACTTCTGAAAAGTTTCTAGAAAATTAATCAAGAATCTGACCCGTTAAACAAGTTAAATTGTGATCCTTGAAATGTCTCTGTGAAAGAATCATAATACATCACTGTTGACCTTCAGGTCATCAGTGACTTCAGTAAGAGCCGTTTCTGTGCTGTGGTTGGTTCTGATTGGTACTTATCAGAAATACTGACATTAAAAGTATGAATATTTTTTTTCAATTAGGGTTGAGTGGGTGGAGCTGAGTGTCAGGGGTGAGTTCTGACAGAAGAATAGCAGCAACAGTGAAAAGGACTGTTTATAAGATGGTAGTGAGACCTGCTGTGATCTATGGTTTGGACATGACAGCCCGGACAAAATGGAATGATGAGACCAGGATGGACACATTAGGCTGAGTGGTTTGGAGACAAAATTAGAGGCAATGCTGAGTTGGTTTGGACATGTGCAGGTGGAAGATTAGTGGTTACAATGGACAAAGGATGCTGAAGGTGGAACCGTCGGGCCAGAGGAAAGGAGGAAGACTACAGTAGAGGTTCATGGATGTAATGAAGGAGGACATGCAGGAGGTTGGTGTGACAGAGGAGTATATCACAGATCATAGCGCTTATAAAAGAGTCTTACAGCAAATATGAAGTCCTTATTAAAGGGGATTGATAATATAACTAGGTGTTAAAATATATTAAATAAAATAAGCCCGCCAGGCAAGTGCTCCAGATTTGGCTTCTGGAGCTTTCTAAGTGTGCCTCTATGAACACTGTGATGGCCAAACCCGTGGCCACACTCTAAAGTCAGTAACTTTTGTATTTTCATTCTTCATTTGAACATAGTAATACATTTTAGTTGTCAATAACCTCATTGATTGGTTTGGATACATTTGTTCTATTTGTAAGCGCGCACATTTAGTTTACTTATGTATTCATACTACTTCATTTCTTTGCTTTCTGACTAAC